GCCGCGGCCGCTCCTCGCGCCCCGCCTCCTCCGCGGCCCGGCTCCTCCCTCTGCGGGCGGCGGCGGCGGCGGCCGGCCCTCCTCCCTCCCCTCCAGCGGCCGCCTCGCCGCCGCGGCCCCCGCGGCGGGAGAGGCCACGGGGCGAGGGGCACTGCAGCGCACGGAGGGGGCGGAGGAGGGGTTGGCTGAGGAAGGCGGGGGACGCGGTGGGCAGAGCCGGGTGGGAGCTGGGGAGGGGTGGGGGGGGCGGCTCCCCCAGCGGCCCGCCCCCAGCCCGCCTGCCCAGGCCTTGGCCTTCTCCTCCTCCTGGCCCCTGCCACGTGCCGGGCGCCCAAATCCTCCCCCAGACCTGTGTCCTCTCGCCCGCAATACCTGCCTCTGATGCCCATGCCCACTCCATGCTGACCACCTTCCCCGGACAGCTCCCCTGACCTGGGCACGGAGCCTGAGGCCTCGGCCCTCCACCTTCCCGCTGCTAAGAAGCCTGCACTGGCTCCCTAGTACCTAGGCAGCCCGGGTCCACATTCTCAGGCAATAGCCCGGCTCTCTGGGATGTGAGAGTCAGCTACACTCCAGTCACATGGTTAGGGACCTTTTCTTCCTCTGGGCTACTCATGATACTGTTCCCAGCACTTCATTCTAATCCCACTCATGCTTCCAGCTATTAAGTCACTGTCACTCAGCTACAGCCCCAATTTTCTCTGTCCTGCTCTGGGATCTTGGGGGGGGGGGGGGGGCGGGGTTCTCTGTCACACATTGCAGGGGGCTAAGGGCTCCTTGCCAGGCTCTACCAATAGGGGGTGCTGGTTTGGGGGGAGGGGAAACCCAAGACAAGGCATCCCTCTACATCACCTCTCCACCCCAGCCCGCAGCTCAAATGCCATCCTCTCTCCTTTCACCAAAGGCCATCTTTTCCCATGAGGTTTTCTCCCTCCCGTCGTGCACCAAACTTCCTCAGCCCCCTCCTGGCCACTCACCAAGAGGCCCCCTTACCTGAATCACTGCCCAGCTAACTGCTTCTTAGGCCCGGGCCCCAGTTGCCAGTGTCCTTCTGACACCTTTAGGACTCCCTGCTATTTGCTCCTACCACTCCAGGCACCTACTAAATGTTTGTAGAAAAATAATAATAATCCTGCCATCCCCACAGAACAGTGAGCTAGAGCCCCATAAAGAGCAGGTCTCAGTTCTATGCTTGCTGAAAAGATAAACGAATATACAAAAAGATAAATGAAAGCAGGGCATCTATAGCTTTTTGTTTCTGGAAAACCGAAATATCCCAAAGTTCGTTCCTTTCACCACTGGGCCATCCTACCCTTAAGAAATCCATGGGACATGCAAAAGCTTCAGGGGAGAATTAAGGTGATTTGGAGCAGGACAGACAGCCTTGGAGTCTGGGCAGAGACACGGAAAGAGAGGAGACATCACAGGTCACAGCTGCATGAGCAGGGACAAAGGCAGAGGAAGAAATAGCTTCTATCAGCTCATGCTGCACCCCAAGCCCTGTGCTGAACACTCAGGCTTAGAAACTTTGGGAACCAGGTCTACCTGGGGCCCGCCCGGTTATGTCGCTTCCTAGTTCTGTGACTTTAGACAAGTCACTTACCCCATCTGAGCATCAGGACCCTCATCTGTAAAATAGTAATAGAGCAGAGCCTCACGTATGGCCAAGGTGAAGTGAGATGATACACATATGCTGCTCAGCCCAGCTGTCATCTTGAAAACAAAGTGCTGTTTATGTAACTCATTGAACAGTGTCTCCTGAGCACCTCCTATGTGACTGGCTCTGGGGAAGCTGTAAGAGGACGGCTCCTGCCCTCGAAGTGCTGGGAAGAGAGATGCCTTAACCAGCAGTGGCTGGACTGTGCTGTGGGCCAGGGGATTCCAGGAAGGACCCATCACCTGCCCAGGTTCTGGAAGGCTTCCCAAAGGAAACCACTGTGTGGAATTAGTTCTACCTTACCGATGAGAAACCTAAGCATGGAGTGGTTAGCTGTCACCCAGTCAACTGATGCCAACTGTCCATCTATAGAGCCAGTGCCCACCAAAGCCAGTGGGGCCTCAGCCCAGGCTTCTTCCTCTAAGTGCCAGAGATGCCAAAACCCCCACCACCACCCCCCCCCCCCCCCCCCCCCCCCCCCCCCGCCCCCGCATATCCCTGCTTCTCAGGGTCCCAGTGCTAACGGTAAGGGGCAAAGAGTAGAAGCAGAGTCTTGTGGTTATATAGGGCTGGAGGGGTGGGGGAAAGACAAAGACTCCCCCCTGGAGACAGGGTTAGGGGTCACTCATAGGCTTCAAGCCCTCATGGAGATAAAACTCCATTCCCTGACCCCTAACCCCACACCACCCAGCCCTGCCTCATCTCAGCCTTTGCCCTCCTAGCACTGCAAGAAACTTTGTAAAGCACAGAGCTGGCCAAACCCTCTCCTTCCAACATGCTCCCTGAGCTCTGTTCGGAGCAAGTCCAGATCCAACCAGATCAGCGTGGACAGGGCCTCACCTTCTTCCGCTTCCCATCCGGGAGGCCCATCTGGGGGGCCTGCAAGCCCCCCACCCCAAGCCTCAGCCCATCACTGTAGAGGTGCCAGGCACCACTAGGCCTCTCCATGCCGGTTCCTCCTGCTTGGGTCCCAGCACCCCACCCACCCAGACCCTGCCAGGGCCTCCCAGACCCCTCCTACCTGATCTTGCTCTGGCTGCCCCTGCCTGCTGTGGGGCCACCGATGTCATTCTCTTGGTCACCATCCCGATCCCGGTCTTTCTCCTCCTGCAGCCGCTGGAGCAGCAGCTGATGGGGGAGGCTTCGCAGAGAAGGTCCAGGAGAAGCTGCCGGCTGCACCTCACCCTTCAGGTTGATGTCACTGGCTGAGCGCTGCAGGGGCCGAGGGGAGGCCAGGCCACTGGGGCCAGCCAACCGCCGCCGCTTTGCATAACTGGGGGTTTCCCTGAATGGTACTGGAGTGGGGGGGTGGGGGGCACAGATGAGACTCTGGGCAACCAGATAGGGTGACCAACACCCTGGTTTGCTTTCCAGATTTTAAAACTAAAATCCTATGTCCTAGGAACTGCCTCAGTCCTGGGCAGCCAGGGCAGTTGGCCAGCCTATGACTGAAGCTACCATTAGGGATCACATCCCAAACTGCCTCTAACTCCAGCTTCAGCGGTAGAAGCCTGTTCTTCCTGTCAGCCAAAAGAGGTCCTGAGTGTGCTCAGACCTGCTCTTGGAACTGCCCATTTCGCAGGCTTCAGCAGAGACAGAACAGGCCACATATGATAAATCTCACTACACTACTGCTATACTGGACCATCTATAGGTGACTCTAACAAGGAAAACCGTAAAAGATGTTCTAGACAAGGGGTTGGCGAACTTCTGTAAAGAATCAGATAGTAACTATTTCAGACTTTGCAAGCCATATAGTCTCTGTCCCAAGGACTCAACATTGCCACTCTAGCACAAAAACAGCCACAAACAATATATAAGCAAATGGGTGTGGCTGAGTTCCAATAAAACTTTATTTAAAGAGCAGATGGTGATTTTTAAAAACATGATCCAACTATATGCTATTTACAAAAGAATCACTTTGGATCCAAAGACACAAGTAGGTTTAAAGTAAAAGGATAAAGGAAGATAGTTCATGTAAATAGTAACTAAGTGAGCTAAGTTGCTACATTTATATCAGACAAAACAGACTTAAAGATAAAAAGTGTTACAAGGACAGAGGACATTGCATATAGACAAAAGAGTGTCAATTCATCAAATAGATTAACAATTATTAACATATATGTGCCAAACAACAGAGCATCAAAACATATGAAATAAACATTAACACATTTGGAGAAATAGACAGTTCTATAATAATATTTAAGACTTTCAACACCCCACTTTCAATAATATATAGAACAATCTATCAGTAAGGACAATCAATAAGGACATAGAAGACTTGAACCAATTAGACCTAACAGATATGTGTTTAGAACACTACAGAAAACAAGAGCAGAATATACATTATTCTCAAGTGCACATGCAACATTCTCCAGACTACATGTTGGGCCACAAAACAAGTCTAAATAAATTTTAAACAACTGAAATCACATAAAGTATCTTATCCAATCACAATGGGATGAAGCTAGAATTCAAGAAAGACAATAACAAAAAAAAAAAAAAAAAAAACGGAAAAACTCACAAATATGTAACAATTAAACAACACACTCTTAGTTAGAAAACTCAGAGTTAGAAAACACTCTGAGAAAATGAAAGCAGAAACATAAAACATCAAAACTTTTGGGATGCAGCAAAAGCCGTGCCAACAAGGAAATTCATAGCTGTGGACATCTATATCAAAAAAGGATAAAAGTCTCAAATCAATAACCTAAGTGCACATCTTAAGGAACTAGAAAAAGAGGAGCAAACAAAACCCATATCTAGCAGAGGAAGGAAATATAAGGATAGACAAAGATAAATGAAAAAGAGAACAGAAATATAGAGAGAATCAATGAAAACAAAAGTTGTTTCTTTGAAAATATCCACAACACTGACAAACCTATAGCTAGACTGGCATAGAGAAAAAAGAGAAGAGGGACACAATCAACTAAAATCAGAAGTGAAACTGTGGCACTGCTACCGATCTTACAGAATTAAAAAGGATTAAAAAAGAATACTATGAACAATTGTATGTCAACAAATTAAATAACTTAGATGAGATGAACATATTTCTAGAAAAACAGAGATTACCAAAACTGACTCAAGAAGTAGAAAATCTAAACAGACCTATAACAAGCAAGGAGATGGATCCACAATCACTAATCTTGCAACAAAGAAAATTCCAGCATCAAACAGCTTCACTGGTGAATTCTACCAAACACTTAAAGAAGTATTGACACCCATCCTTCTCAAACTCTTCCAAAAACTAGAAGAGGAAAGAAAACTTCCTAACTTGTTCTGTGAGCAATTAAAAAATAAGCAAAGGACTTGACAAGTCTCCAAAGAAAATGTACAAATGGCTAATAAACACATGAAAAGATGCTCGACATTACTAGCCATTAGGGAAATGCAAATCAAAACCACAATGAGATACCACTTCACACTGACTAGAGTGGCCATAATTAAAAAAAAAAAAAAACTGACGATTACAAGTGTTAGCAAAGATTTGAAGACTTTGGAATTCTCATATGTTGCTGGTAGGGACGTAAAATGATGAAAAACAATTTGGTAGTCTCTCAAAAAGTTAAATATAGAATTATCATATGGCCCAGCAATTCCCTCCTAACTTTATACCCCCAAATAACTGAAAACAGATATTCAAATATATTTCACACATGTTCACAGCAGCAATGTTCATGATAGCTGAAAGGTACAAACAACCCAAGTGTCCTGCTGGAGGATGCATGGATTAACAAAATTTTATAAATATAAATGATGGAATATTATTCAGCCATAAAAAAGAATGAAGTAGTGATACATCCTACAATATGGATGAAGCTTGAAAACAAGCTAAGTGAAAGAGGCCAAAAACCGAGAGTCACATATTATATGATCGTATTTATATGAAATATCTAGAATAGGTCAATCTGTAAAGACAGAGAGTATCTTAAAGGTTGACAGGGACTAAAAGAGAAGAGAATGTGGAATAATTAATATATACTCGGTTTCCTTTTCAGGGTGATGAAAATGTTTTGAAATTCAATAGATCTGGTTGTATAACACTGTGAACATATTAAATACCACTGAATAATTCCACTTAAAATAATTAATTTTATGTTGTGTGAATTCAACTTTAAATGAAATTTAAATCCTCAATTTTAAAGCCTCAATTTAAAAACAAAACAAACAAACAAAAAAAGCAGACTGTGGGCTGAATTTAGCTTGCAAGGTCTCATTGGCCAAGCCCTGTTCTAGACTCCCGTTACCAAAGTGTGGGCAACAAACCCTCAGCCTCACCTCAGAGCTGAAACTCATTGGAAATGCAGACTCTGAGGCTCCGCCCAGACCCAATGAGTCAAAATGTACATTTAACAAGATCCCTGGTGGGGTGCCTGGGTGGCTCAGTCAGTTGAGCGTCAGACTTCGGCTCAGGTCATGATCTCAGTTCACGAGTTTGAGCCCTGCGTCCCCGTGTCAGACTCCGTGCTGACAGCTCAGAGCCCCCCACTTCCTCCCCCCACCCACCATCAGATTCTGTGTCTCCCTCTCTCTCTCTCTGCCCCTCTCCGCTTCTGTGTCTGTCTCTCAAAGTACATAAACATAAAAAAAAAAAAAATTTAACGAGATTCCTGGCTATAGCATTAGAAGCACTTCCTTCAGGCACTATGGGACAGCAAGTCAGTGAGACCTGCCCTTGAAAGCATGTATGGGAGAGATGGAGGGGAGAATGTGGACTCTCAGTTGGCCTGAGGTGACAGAGGTGAGGAGGCAGAGGTGACTGCTCCCAGACCTATCAGTCTAAGGGCTAGAGGCCTGCCAATAGGCTTCAATGTGTCGCGTCCCTTGAAGGGTAACAGGACCCAGCCTACCAGACCCTCCACTAGGGCTCCTTTCCTGAGGAAGAAAAAGGGTGGATAGGCAGAGCCTCCCTCCAGCTCTTCTGTACGCAGACCCACCCAGGGTCCCCAAGCTGGGGTGAGACATGGCCACTTGTGAGTGTCACTGAGGGAGTGTCCTTGGAGTGAAGGTGTGCAGAGGGAGTAGGAGTGACAAGGACAAACCCCTGGATTGCCCAGGTCCAAAGACAGGTTCTGCCCTTAACCAACTCTGTAAAAACAGACTAATAATAATCACTTGTTGAGGGGTTGTTGAGAGAGTGGCCTAAGATAACAAAGCTTATAGTAAATACTAATGGATATATTACCTGTAACTCAAGGATATCCGGCTATGCCATTTGAGCATACATGTGATGCCTGAGCAGGTTAGGGTACGTGGCCAGCAAAGCCAGTGCCCACACAGGGACTAACAGGTATGGCTGCCTGCTCTGTACATCAGCTCAGCAACAGTGTGCCCAACGCAAAGCAGGTGATCGCACTCTGGGCCAGCCAGACAGTAAATCATAATAACGGTGACCCTAGGGACCCTAGCATCTCTGTCCACATCAGGAAAATGAGAGGCAGCTGGAGCCTTCCTCTCTCTTGGTCAGGACCAGACACCCCCCTCCCTCTAGTCAGATGGACCAAGGCCACCTGCCAGAGTCCAGACACACAGAATCAAATCCCACAGGAGGTCAGAGATAGGAAGGGTATGCAAATAACCATATTTTACTTAAGAAAAACTGAGGCACAGAGGCCTTACTTAGTAGCTCTCCCATGGTCAATCACGAGAATATGAAAGGATCCCCATGTCCACAAACCACGGTTCTCCCAGGCTAACAACTACCTCCAAAACACTTACCAGCCCCAGCCAGACTATAACAGCCCTCACTCTGTCTCTTGTCCCTAATTCAAACCTCAGAGCTCATCGGGGTTCTCTCCCCACCAGAACCTGGACCCAAATTCTCCACCACGTCATCAGCCCAGCCGTTTCTCCAACAAACGCCTACTGATGCTCGCTGCACTGAGCTTCTGCAGCTGCTGAGTCCACCCCTCCCCTCTTAGAGACTTGGTCCATCATCATGGTCCCCTGGCCTGCCTGGGACATGACAGGCTCATAACCAAGCCTCATTTGAGAAGGTCTTTTCAGGGAAGACACTACAGAAGGAAGAATTCTTAAACACGAATTTGACCTTAATCTTAACCCCAGTCCAAATTCAACCCCAGCCCCGACTGTAACCTCACAATAGAACCAAGGCCAACCCTAGCCCTTTGCTGTCCAACGTCACTTATATTTTTTTTTTTTTAAATGAGGACACTGCACCCATCGCAAAAAGGGGAGCTTGGGAGTCTGTGTTCCACAGAGAACCATGGGAGGGAAAACCTGGTCCACCCAGGACAAAGGGAGCTGAGAAGGGAGCCCCTCTGTGGCCAGGTAGCTGGAGAGGTGGCCTTTCCAGAGGGGAGGCCTACCCTCTCCCATAGCCCCAACCACTTCACATAGGATAGAGCAGGCAGGATTCTAAGGACAGGTCCCAGAGCGGCTCCACACCCATCACATGGGAGTGGGTGGGGACCTCCCTGAGGCTCCAGTGTGATGGCTCTGCCCATACTTCTGCCACCGGTGGCATCTCCTGGTTTTCCTACTGAGACCATGAGTCAGGCATATACTGGGATCTCCTTGGCATACTGGTTCAGAACTCAGCGCATCCCCACCACTGTGTTTTGTTTTCTTTACGTGATCTTGTCATATTGAAGCACGCCATGGGCCACTTAAACTGCCTCTTAATCCAGGCACCAAGGACACACTGAGGGTCAATGACTGAGATCCACTGCCCCATGTCCCCTGCTGGCCCTTTGTACGACCTAACAGGAGAAGAATCTTGACCCTAACTTCAACCCCACTCTCAACCCAAATCGATCCCTAAACCCAGCAGTGTCCCCAACCTAACCATACTCTCGACTCTTATTCAGACCCTTTGTCGACTCTACACAGGCCCCTCCCTCAGCACAGTCCCCACACTTAGGACCGCTGACCAAAGTAGAGCCGGGAGGAAGAGGTTCAGGGTATGGAGGGCTCCCCTCTACCATCCCCACTGACCCCTGTACCTGTGGGAGCCCCGACAACCCCCACAAATCCACATCCAACAGGGACCTGGGTTGAGCAGAACTCACCAACATCCGAGTCTTTGTGGGTCTTGATGACCTCTGCGAGCTCAAAGTTCCCTGCGATGATGGCCACCTGAGGAGGGAGGGCGAGGGGGGCTCAGGGATGCCAAACCTGCCCCCCGTGGCCCCTGTGCATTCTGCCTGGGCTGCTGTGTGGGATCTTCCTTGGTTGGGGTCCCCAGGCTCAGACTGTGGCCCCTGTCTAACCCACCACCCTATTCTGCCTAGGACTGAGAGGTATCCTGGGACATGAAACTTTCAGAGCTAAAACTAGGACGGTCCGGGCCTACAGGTCACCCCAGTGATCCTCGTCACAGCCCCTCCGCACACACCAGCGCACAAGTGTCAGCCATAGCCTCACACCTGCTACCCTCCATCTTCCGTTCCCCCACCCCTGCATCTAGTCACCTAACAGGCCCTTCCAGACTCCTTCAAACCTACCAGGCTCTTCTGCTACTGCGTCTGCCCCCTGACTTGCCCCCTTCTGCTACTGCGTCTGCCCCCAGGGAGGACCTACCTGTTCTCCTCACATCTCTGACGAGACTTCTGAAGGCCCTCACATTCGCTGAGAAGAGAATCCCAGCTCTCTCCATGGTCCAAAAGTCTCCCCCACCCACAAACTCCAGGTCATACGGAGACCCACCCATGTGGTCATCCCAGTGCCAAGAACCAAACCCAACTGGAGAAGGGGCTCAGAAACATCACCTGAATTAAGTCCGGGACTGGAACCAATCCTCTCACCCCTGGTTTGGCCTCTGTACCCGGCCTGTTTCTGGCAGGTCAAGCCCACACTGGTTTTCCCCTGACCCCAGAGCCCTATGACCCTCCTCTCTCCCTGGAAGGAAGACAAGGAAACCAACCACAGTGAAGCCCTCCCCCGACCATGAACTGGGCACTGCACTGGCCCACCCTCTTCCTCTGCCTCACCCTGGGCCAATCCTGGAGTGAGAGCTCTGCTATCGCCTTACAGGGGAGGAACCAAGGCCCAGAGAGATCAAGTCACGCAGAGACAGACACCCAGCGGTCAGCCTCATGTCCCTGTAAATCACTCTTGTACCTGGAAGGCTGTCTGGCTATTGTAATTGCGGACATCCTTGTTAGCTCCACGGAAAAGTAGGACTCGAGCACAGCTTTCCTGTTGGGAGGGTCGGAGTGGGGGGTCACAACTGAGCAGCTGGAGGGATGGGGTCAGGATACAACAGCATGCGCACACACCAGGGCACAGACGGGGGTGCAGGGCACATACACCCACACCTCCACGTCCCGTGCACATGTGCATAGCATAGGCATTGGCAGATCAGGTACACATAACACACACAAGTCCACTTGACCCAGAAAGCCCGGATGTGCACAACTCACACATGTGACTTGTTCGTTTAGGGAACAGATGTGCACACATAGGCCTATGAGGCCACAGCTCACGGCAGGACACAGGACATGCACTCAGGAAGTAGCACACAGGACCCAACATGCATCCACACGTAAGCACTGTACCGGGGCACCTGTATACGCACATGCACGTATACACATGTAGTCACACCTGGTTATAGAGGGCACAGATGTGCAGCGCTGTGTTTCCTGAGGCATTCTGAGCCCCCATGTCAGCTCCATAGAACAGCAGGTGTTCCAGGTGCTGCACGTGCCCAAAGCGGCAGGCCTGGGGGATGAGGGAGGTGCTGTTGGGTCCCCGAACAGAGCAACAGAGAGGACCCTCAATCCTACAGATAGGGCCGGGAAACCCCCCCCCCCCCCACTCCCTGACAGAGCCGGGAACTTCACCCTGACCCCCAGACAGAAGCAGACACTCCCCACCTTCACACTCCCTGCCTACCTGATGGATCTCCTGCCAGCCATTCTCATCAGTGGTCCCCAGCTGAGCATGGTCGTGAAGGAGCAGCTCGCAGCAGAGGGCATCCCCGCCCCCCAGGGCACTGTGGTACAAGGGCGTCAGGCCGCGGCTGTCCTTGTAGTCAGGTGAAGCGCCCAGGTCCAGCAGAGTCTGAGGGCAAGGAGCCTCGGCATTCATGCGGGGCCCAGCCTCCTCCCCCTGCTGGGCCACGTGCCCCTCCAGGCCAGGGCCCCACCCACACTGACCGTCAGAGCCGCGGCATTCCGCTGGCGTGTGGCACAGTGCACGGCAGTGAGCCCATCGCGGGTGCGGAAATCCAAGTGAGCACCACCATTCCTCAACACCTTCAGCAGGTCCGTGGCGTTGTCCAGCTGGGCTGCAAGGCTCAGAGGACACTCTGGGTTCAAGGGACAGATGAAGGTTAAGGTCCCAACCATTCCAAGGCCATGCCCCTTCCTGCTCTGCTTCTTACCTCCTGAGTCAGGATCGTGGAAATTGGGGTCCAGCCCCTTGTCCAGTAAGCGGGCTACCTTGTCCGTGCTGTGCAGCTGGACGTAGTCCATGAACTTCTTCAGGTTTGCCTGGAACACGCAGCCATCCTACTCAGCCCAGCCCCACAGCTACTATCTTCTGTCACCCACCTTCCACCAGGAGGCCTCAGGCCACCTGTGGAGCATCTACTGCCCCATGCCCCCAGTCTGACCTGTCAGCCTACATCATGACCTTGTCGCCCCCTCATACCACCTCAAGCCCTACACCCCCACCATGGCCCTTCCCGGCTCAACTGGGCCCTCCTGCTGCTTGAAGTCCCTCCCTGCATCCCACACCCACTGCAGTGATTAGTCTCAGCCCACCCAGCCCCTCATCAAGGCCACGTTGCCCTGGCCATGCCCCCCTGAGAGTTCCCTACCCCAACCTCACCCCTGGCTCCTGCCCCCAGCCCTGGTGTGCCAACCTGCCCAGCCCGGAACAGCCCAAGGCTCCCAGGCAGAAGCTACCCTCACCACAGCCCATGTCCCTGTCACCCCCAAGTCCCCATCACCCCCAAGGTAGCCTGCTCCTTCTTCCTCATGAGATCATGCAAAGGCAGACCGCCACCCCAGAGGCCCTTCCGCACCCATAAGCGGCCCCTCCTGTGACATGACTTTGACTGCCTTTCATTCATTCACCTAGTCATGCATCAATTCACTCAGCAAAATTCACTCATCCAAAGCCTCACTGAGGCTGGTGCTACAGACGCTGCATGCACAAGGCACGGCGCCCTGGCTGGAGGCCCCAGGTCTTCTAGAAATAATCAGGGTACATCATAAATGGGAACCAAGGTGGGTCTGGACAATGACACAGGAGGAAAGGTGCTCCTGACAGGGGAGAGACCTCAGCCAGGCCCAGGGTGGATGGTATGATGGTGGGGGTGGTCAGAGGCCAGGCAGGTAGAAGTACGGGCCTGGGGTAAGGAGTTGAAACTCGCTCTAAAAGCAAGTGGGACTCATTGGAGGCCAATAGTCACCAATGTCCTAGGGATTGCTTGGGACAGTTTTAGAGAAGAGGTAACCACTTTGGGAGGAACCCAGAGCGACAGGGTCACACTGGGGTGAGTGGAGAGAGAGGGAGACCTTTCCACCACAGTCTCTGCCCAGCCAGAGTCATGGCCCCTGACCCCTGTGTGCCCCAGGGGCAGCAGAGAGACCTGGCATGGAGGCCCCAGGGTCACAGAGAGGTCCTTGGGACACAGGGGTGATAGTGCTCAGATCCTTCTCCTAGAAGGAGACAGGCTCCAGGGATTGTCAATGAAGTGTCCAGAAAGCAAATGTCCGCTGGTCACTGGAGCCTGAGGTGGGAGCTGAGAGAGTCGGCCTGTGGGTAGGGGCTGCGGCACCCACACTGCCTCTCCTACATTCAGAGAAGGCAGTGAGGTGCCCCTCAGAGAATATTCAGGGTCAGGCCTACCTAGCAATGGTGCTCAGCAAGTGTGCCTAGGCACAGGGACCCAGAGCCAAACAGACCAGGGTTCAGCCCCAGCTTCACTGTCTGCACACCTGTGAGCAAGTCACTTCACTTCTCTGGGGCTCAGTATCTTCATCTGGGAAGTGGGATAATAATAGTCCCTCCCAGGAGAAAATTAATGAGATGCCCAATTATTAGTGCCCAGCACTGGGCGACCACTAAATGCTAGGCCCCTTGTTCTCCCCCACCCCCTCCCGGTTCCCCTAAATGAGAACATTGGTTGGTGCTTGTTCATTTTCACCCCACCCAGGCTCCCACCAAGACACCATGCCCTGTCATATCCCACCACCACCACCCCGCAGGAGCCCACCAGAGGGGTCAGCCAGAATCTGACCTGACTTGAGCCCATCACCAGACCACCCACACAACAGCTGCACCCAGCCCTCCAGCAGCCCCAGCACGTGCTGTGGACCCCTGACACAGGAGAAAACAGACTGAGGCAAGCTAGAGAGACTGTGCTCAGCCCCCAGCCAGGGTGGAGGGTGCTAGGAGCAGAAGGAGGGCTCTCGAGAATTTTTAAAGGACATTTTCAATATCACGAAATCCAGCCAAGGCCGGGGTTGAAGAGAGCACTGCTCGTGGGGGTCAGGAGGTAACTCTGGAGTCCCTTCTCCGTGGCTGCCTCCTTACCTTTGTGTGAAGCTTTGCAAACTGCTTATCATCGATGAGGTTCTGGGCATAAACTCGCCTCTTGTATCGAAACTGCTCAGGTGAAAAAAAAAGGCAGAGAAAAGGCACTCACCTGGACTGAGTGAGCAAATGCACCGACAAAACCAAGCCCTGCTTACTCACCCTGCCAGCCACACAAAGCTCATGCTGCCAGTGACACAAGAGCCAACCCCAAGTTCAGATGGGATGAATGCCTGCTGTCCTGCACCACCCTTTGCCTCTCATTCCCATCCCCAGGATCCCCTGGAAAATCCCGCTCCTCTTCCAAGACCTGATTCCAGGCTTACCTTCCTAGATATGTCCTCTCTGAGAACAAACCCTATTTCCCTATGACACCAAAAAGGCCAAGCCCCTTCGTGCTCAGCCACCATAATGCATATTTTAATGCTCATGGCACTTGCCACCACCGCCCCAAACTACAAGCCTGTGTCCCCACGCCTGACGGCGCATACAATATCCTTTCCATTATGACCGGGTCTGCCTTCAGAGACACCCTGGAAGGGGAGGGGGCAGATGTGCGTACAGGTAACGCGCCGGCTCGCTCTACACACCGCTCTGCACACTCACACCCCACTCTGCAGAACCACGGTGTGCCCCCGACGCACAGATGCTGACTGCACACCACACACAAGGCTCGCACCTCACACGCTACACACACCACACTGCGCACCGCACACACACTGCACGCACCGCTCACTGCGCTGGCCACACACAGCCTCCCACCCCCGCCCCGCACACACACACCGCTCCACACTAACTCTTCCCGTCCGCGTCCGTCGCTACCGTGCCCTTCGCTGCTCCTGCCACGGAATCCTGTGGTGGTGCCCTGCGCGCGCCCCTGCCCGCTCACCTCCAGGTAGGGCAGGGGCGTGTCCAGGTTGGGCGGGTACTCCTGCAAGAGCCGCTCCTCGTCCAGGAACTTGCCTGCGCGGCCCCGGGAGGGCGGCTGGAAGAGCCCGTAGTTGAGCGCGTCCTGGAGGCTGTGGTTGAGGGCGCAGAGCACGCGTTGCTTGGCGGCCCACACGGGGGCGGCCGGGTCCAGGCGCAGGCACTTCTGCAGCGGAGCGAGCTCGTGAGCGCGGCCCGGCCCGACCCCGCGCAGAGCACCAGGTCCCGGGAGCCCCCCCGACCCCCCCCACCCCAACTCCCCCCCACCCCCCAGGCAGGAGTCCCGGGCTCCCCAGCCCAAGCCGCGGACCCCGCGCCTCCGCGGCCGGCGGGCGAGGACCCGCCCCGAGGGCGGTGCTTCCCCGGGACCCGCCCCCGCCCGGCCGGTGGGGAGGGTCTCCGCGGAGGCGGCGGGGGAGGGGTGAGTTGCCGCGGGCCTGGGGTCTCCCGCGCCGGTCTCGGAGCGCGCGGTGGGGGAGTGGGGTGGGCATAAGGAGGGGGGGGGGGCTGGGCGAGGACGGCGGGGGCGCTACCGGGACGGGGCGGTGGGGCTTACCGTCTGCTGCAGGTCCGGGATGCCGACGCGCACG